AATTAAAACAATTGCAAAAATGCCACTTTTGGGGTATACATTTGCAAGAATGCCATTTGGAAGTGTCAATTTGCAAAAATACCGCTAGTTATGGATATTCAAAACCTCAATCTTAAAATTATAAACCCTAAAAAATGTTGACCCCTAAAACCCTCTAAATGCTCAAAACTAAACTTTAATACAACATAGTTAAACCCAAATATAAATGATATAATAATTTTTTTTTGTTTGAAAAAATGGCATTTTTGCAAAGATTTTGAAAACATGACATTTTTGAAAAGTGGTATTTTTTAAAATTTATCTTAGAAGTTATGTTTTACCCTTAATTAATACACTGTTTTATTTTATATGAATAATTAATAAGGTAAAAGAGTAAGAATAAAAATGAAAAAAATTAGTCATAAAAATGTATTGAACATACAAAATAACAAATAATATAAAAAAATTGAGGTTAGAACGACAACTAATATAAAACGAAAAGAGTATTAAAAGTCGTTAATAGATTATAATATAAATTTAATTTGTCGATATAGCCACAAAAATATTTATTCATATAGGAAAAAAGGAAATTTAACAAAGTTAATTTTTACAAAAAAAAATATAATTAAAAAGTAATAAAAAAACTTTCATTATTTATTCGAACATATTATATTCCCCATGACGAACAAATTCAAATGAAAAAACAAAATAAAATCCATAGTAGTGCTCTAAGAAAAGGATTTGATAGTTGGGAGAACACGTTACACGTGGAGACGGAATAATCTTATCTTATGAGGGAATTTAGCGATATCCAATTCCATTGCGCCACGTAGGCACATGAGAAACCCAAACTTCGAACACGTGATTCTTGACCGACGGCGTTCTCACCCGACGTGGACTCAACAAGTGAAAAATTGTTGACTTTTAAACTGATTAAAAAACATCCGGTTATGGTAAACCAGGTAGGTGTCGTTAACACCACAACAACCAAAATTTTAGCAAATATGTAGTGGTTTAACCAACATGGATGAGTGAGTCTACATTGGCTGTATGGTTTCATTCTCTTATGGGCTTGAAGAAAAACTGAAAAAGTTTAGTCGTACTCCAAAGAACATTCACCACCATCTTCCACATGAAGCCCATCGATTACTGAGGATGGATCGGTTTGTAAGTACTTCAGCTCACTCCTGTCATGTTGTACCCTTCCTGAGATCTCCAGACACAAACCGTTGCGGTTTTTCTTGTTGTCTCTCTTAGAGGAGCTGCTGCTGTTTGGCTTCTTCTCGGTCGGTCCCGGATCTAAGAAGATTGGAATGAGTTTTGCCGTTGGGTTCGGTTTGATCCTGTTCACGTTTTTAGTTTCGGATGGTCCTAGAATCCTATTCCCTGATTCCAGTTCTGAGATATCATCTTCGTTTAACAGTACCTGTGTGTCA